TCTTGTACAATGCATCCTTGACCAAAAGATGTCTCTAGACATGGCCAGGCATGTGTATTTATTATGCATCTGAGGTATGACTGAGTTCCGTGTGCATTGCTTAACTGTTTACAGTAGGAGTAAAACTTGTGTGGTCCTCCAAACTTTTATCTACAGCATTCAACATAGTTGGCTATGCTGTCTAGGAGTGCTGGGACCTGAAATCCAACATCTGGAGTGTCTTGATTCCCATAGCTGCTTTACAAGGTATGTTCAGGAATTTCCTGCAGGAATTATGATCTCAGTTCTAAATTTGTTACTTCTCTATTGGAGTTTTCTTTGTTGTTGTTAACTGCCCTTGAGTCATGGTGACCCTGTGAATGAGACATTTCCTAGACCCCTAACTTCCACTTCTCTGCTTAGGTCCTGCATATTCATGCCCTTGAAATCTCTGAGTCTATCAATCTAGCATGTGGTCTTCTTCTCTATCTACTATCCCTCTATCTTTCCTAGCATTAGCCCTCTGCTTGCACCCTTATTTCTGGGAGGGGAGCATGTCTTGTCCATTTAAAATATTAGCTCCAAATATTCCAGACCTTTCCAGATTTTTCTTGTTTCAACCATGCTCCACTGGGCAAATGCCTCTCTCATGAACCTACTTCATGATACTTCTTGATTGGTTGGTTTAACCCTTTAGTTTGACACTGAACTGGTAGTGCAGTTTGGTCAAGCCATCACTTTGCAGGATTGTTGTACATACTAAAGAACAGAGTATGCTAAGGTTGCCGTCATCACAAGACTGTTCTAGTAAAACCATTGGTTAAGAAATGAAAAGGCACAGAAAGAAGGAACATGCTGCTGCCATGTTAGGTTCTACATGACAGACGAAATGATGCTCCTTCTGTCATTGGCGCTCCTTCTCCTTGAAGAAGGAACAGAGAGCTGCATGTAACTCTCAGATGACAGTGTCATGGTAATGGTGGCAGAAGCAGTGGGACCCTGCTAGTAACATTCAGAGCCAAGGGCAAGGTCATCCATTAATCCCCTGTGGAAAAGGTCAGCACAGAGATAGATTGCTACAACTTCTGCTCCTGGGTGGCTCTGAGAGAGGCAGTCATGGCAATGGTGATAGAGGGAGAGAAAGAGAGATGGAGGCAGGAGGGAGACAATGGGAGAATCATCTTTTTCATAGCTAATTATACCACAGTGCTAAGATCCTTAATTGCAGTGTAAAGCTTTATATATGGCTTTTATAGCAGAAGTCCTTGCTAATGAGTGTTTATCAAAGCGACTTTGCTTCCTGGGCTGTGGCTCTATTAGCTGTCTTGGAGCTCATTATTGTGTATGAGTAATCATCATATTTCCCCACCTCCACTTCCCCCAAAGCTTGTTATGTTGCTTGGTGTGATGCTGTCCTTCCTCTGCCTGATTTCTCGGTCATTTAGCGTGAACCCACAGAGAGTGGCTTTGCAGACATAAAGCCTGCCAATTACCTTCACTGACTTGGTTCTTGAGGTGGTATGGTGTGTAGATTTTTACATGATTGGTTTTCTTTGTGGATAGGGGTAAGGCTTTTTGGTGCAAATGTGGGTGTCATTAAATTTATCAGAATAGTTAGGTGGAGATGTCTCAAGTGCAATCCATCAGGTAATCTTCCTCATGCCTCCCTGAAATGAGTGGGAGTTGTACACTAACTCAAGGGTTGTCTGCACTGGCCAAATAAAATGTCCTCCTCTATCCTCTTCATGATGAGTCCAAAATGCATGGCCCTATCTCCAGTTCTGGTGCAAATTTTTCAGATGACGTCGGGTCAATTCAGTACCAAACCTGCTGTATACCCTCCTTAAAAACCTCACATTTTGCTCCAAATCTTCCTGGAAAATCTGGAGCCCTCCTTTTCGACGCCGGAAGGCTGTTTAAAATGTGTCCCACTATGCTGCCTGCCACTGCTGCAAGTCACTTGCTATGAAGTGAGAACAAGGCACCCAGCCATGAGATTGATGGTGGTTCTGGCCTCAGAGTAAGTGACTTGCTGTGGTGGCACTGGCGCTGGGCACCACAGGAGGACATATATGCAAACAGCTACCTGGCATTGCAGTGGAGGGCCCCAGGACATTGGGACAGCTCTGAGACCAGAATACTCTGTGGTGCTCCCATGTGATAAAGCTATAAACTCCAAGGCCAGTTCTAGGAAACATGTTCAAGAATACCCATGTATTTTATTCTCCTTTGTCTCTCATCCTTACATGGCCAAGAAGAAGAGTGGCCTCTCCCTGCATTTAAATCCCTCAATACCATCCTAACTCACAACAGAGTAATATCTGAGACAGAATTCAGGCCTGTGACTTTTAACATCATCACCTTTTTCCTCCTGAATCTTTGCCTGATGAAGAAGCCAGTGGACCTTTGAAAGCATGCATAATGTATCTTATGCTTTGAAGTCAGTCCAATAATGGTTCTGCTGCTTTGTGGATTTTATTTATTTATTCTGAAGTCAGAATAGGAAACTGCTGAAAGGATTTGCAACTTCATGTTACTTAGTGGAGGGGCTGGAACCATGCAGTCTAGATTCAGGACTGTAGTTGTGGAGGTGCGCATAATGAGGGCATATCTCCCACCAATAAAAAATTTGTACCCCCAGATAAAATTTTCCTTCAGTGCTCAGATTTCAGGCATCGCGGAGTGAGAAACTGAAAATTATTCTAACCAAAACTTTTACACTTGCTGTGTTTGCATTACCTTGGTAACTTTGCCTGTCCCTTTACTTTAGATGGCTAAACTATGGCAGGAATCCTAGAGTTACATATTTGTTTCTGTTTTGTATTCACAATCCTTACATATTCTCAAGTTTAGGGGACACATAGGGACCATGAAAACCTCCCAATCCCCAATTATTGGGAAGCAGCCACTGCCATTGACAAAGATCAGTTCTTCTGTTGCTTGGGAAACATCTGACTGACTGACATCCCGAATTGAACAAGCAGTCTCCGGTGTGAGGGGAAATTGTGATAGGGACTCTTCTTCTGCCTGTTGCAATGGAGATGGCTCATGGGAAGGAGTGAAAATGTCATTTAACCTCTTCTTGAGTGACAGAGCAACAAACCCCGATCCATCACAGTGGCTGCTGCCCAGTATGTAGGGATTAGGGGAGACAATTGGGCTGGGAATCATTGTGTAGCTATGTAACTGTGGTGGTTATGGTTTGTAACTCCCCTGAAAGATCCTGGTTTATATTTCTGAATGTTCAAATGAAGTTTTAAGTTACTGGAAGGCTATAATAAATATGGAAACTGAATGAAAATTTATTGGAAGATTCTTATTTAGGGACATTGTCCTCATTTTGCTCCCCCTGTATCTGCACACCCTATAGATTTTCTGTTGCTGCCTGAAGTAGAGATGGCAATGGCATTCTCCACACCTGGAGTTCCCAGGTGAAATAAGGGGACAGGTCTCCTGTCCCTTTGATGGTTGTGTAGATGACTAAATGTCAGCAAGGGTTGCCTGTCACACAATCAGGTGACACAAAACCCTGTCCCTTATTTCTTCTGACAACTCTACCTACACCCACAGAAGTCAAGGTGCTCAGTACCCAAAGCTGACCTAATCTGCACTGCAAAAATAATGCAATTTGATACTGCTTTAACTGCCATGGCTCAATGCTATGCAATTCTGGGATGTTTCATATTGTGAGATATTTAGCCTTCTTTGTCAAAGAGCTCTAGTGCCACTTGTGTTTTGTTGTTGTGTGCCTCTAAGTCATTTTTTAACTTATTGCGACCCTAAGGCTGCAAGTTTCTTCAGAGAGGGTTTGCCATTGTCATCCTCTGAGGCTGAAAGAGTATGACAACAAGCTACCAATCCCAGAATTACATAGCATTGAGCCATGGCGGTTTAAGTGGTATCAGACGGCATTAATTCTGCAGTGCAGATTAGACTCAAGTCATTTGGATGCATAAGACAAAAAAATAAAATAAAAATCCCATGAGCTCCATTTCCAATTAATTGTAATTAAAAAAATACAACAATGATGAGTTACATAACTAGCAATGTGTTGCCCTTTCTGTATGCCCCTAATTGGGTGGCCAGGGGTGGCCCCTTCACTCTGCCTCATAGTAGGGTTTAAGCCTTGGTGTTAGCACCAAAATAATTCACAACATCTTGTCTGTAGGATTTGAGGTTATGCTTATTGCCATATACTTGGAAGCACATAGTTCCATAGGCTTGTGCAACTGACCATCTGTTTTCATTTTCGTTTTGTAAAATCTGCTTCTGTATGTCTTGTTCATTGTAGAACTAAAGCCATTCACTATTATATGGGGTAAATGGTCTATGTTTTAGCAACAAATGTTGAATTGACTTCACAGGAATACAATGGCCAAATTTGTAAAAGTTTTTGACACCGTCAGGTGGAATTTTCATTAGGATGAATACCTTTGCAGGACTTCCAGGCTATAAGTATAGCAAATAAACATACATATTTTTTCCTTAACCACAAGAAAATGGTCCTCTACTTTGTTAAAATTGCTGCAGGGCTCAGTCTGGAATTCTTGTTATTTATTTATTGGGTTGGAATCCCAGCTTTCTACCAAAGATGAAGATCACAGTTATATGCAATAATTAGCATTTACGAATGATAAATTTCAATCCAAATGT